GTCTCGTTTCCCTTTGGGGTGGCTGTAAGTGATCCAGAAGTCTGTTTTTGAGACTTGTTTACACGTCTTCTCATTTCCAAGGTGGGGGGGCGGTGTGCTTCTGGCACCTGCGTGGCTCACCTTCTCTGCCCTAGGAGCTTGGGATGGCAGCAGGGGAGCTTCCTTCTGGGTGCTAGGACCGGCTCAGTTTCTCTGCCCTAGGAGCTTGGGATGGCAGTGGGGGAGCTTCCTTCTGGGTGCTGGGACCAGCTCACCTTCTCTGCCCCTTTTGTTTGCTAAAGTCACCTGCTTAGGAATGGTAGAGCAGATGGTAGAACCCAGCCAGTGTGACTGTACTCACACACGTAGCCCCTTTCTGTTTTGGAGCTGTTCATGAGGAAATTCTCTGGCTGCTTGATAGGAGGTCAAAGACTTGTCATTCCCAAGGAACCCTCTTCCCTACCCTGGAGGAAATGAGTGGCTACCTAAAGATGGATGAGGAAGAGTGCAGAGGGTCCGTCTGCACACTGGAGACCACCCATGTGAGTTCCTATCAGGAGACGGAAATATCTGCACTGGAAGCTGCAGTTGGGACACGGACACCGGGTCGGTGAGGGCAGGAGGATGTGAGGGCTACAGTCACCGCGACACAGGTGACACAGATGACTGCTCACCATATTTCTTGATGTGGTCACAAGATGTCTTTGGTGACATACATGTTTTTAGTGCCTCAGACCACACAAAATAGAGATTTTTCTCTCTACTAGAGGTTTCCTTAAGAAGAAAGAAAATGAGAGCAAAAGCACTCAAATACATTCATGTTCCTGTTTAACTGATCTATTTGGTAAAACCAAAGTATTTTCTCTTGGGAGACATAGCTTTGGGGTACAAGGATTCAGGAATAAAGCACAGTGCAGGGTTCCCTACAGTTTGAAAGATGCCAAAGGGAGCACAGATGAGAAGGTGAACACAAGATGCCATGCATGGTGTGACATAAAAGCAATGGCAGGACAAAAGCATTTTAATGACCAGGCAAATGTTTTCCAGTTATTGTGCTGATTGGAAAAGTTTTTATCCTTTTAAAAAGAGGGAGAAGAGGTTCAAGGAGAAGGTATTTTGTAGCTGGTACTTTGCAAAGTATTCTCCAGAATTGTGGGCATTTTCAGTAATTTGTGGGGCAGCTAAAAAAGAATGGAAACACCTCAAGAAAAACAGCAACGCAGTTGAGAAAATCTTGGCACTTTGAAGACTTAGGTAACCAGTTAACAAGTCTGACTGTGAGCTAGGAGCAGAGCTGGAAATCAAGACCAGCCCTGTCTGACTTTCCCATTCCATCACATGATTCCAGCATGAGCCAGGCCAGGACGTGGACCAGTGTGGATGGGTGCGGACAGATGCTGGGTGGGTGGATGATGGATCGCTATGGATGGATGGGTGGATGGATGGATGGAAAGACATTGGTTGGTCATGTAGAGCCTGGACAAGCTCAGAGGAGGAGAAGGGTAGGGGAAGCCCCTCATGCATTCCTCTTGGAAGGAACTGATTTAACCACGCCTGCTTTGCAGTGATATCCTGATAGTACTTCTGGCAGTTGTAGCTTTACACTTTTAGAAATCATGTGCTGCTGACTCCATATTATGAGGCTCTTTGCCTCCCCTGCCTCCTCCTTCTCCTCTTGGCCCTCCCCTCCTCCTCCCTTCCTTCCTCTTCCTCCCCTTCTTCTTCCCCTTCTTCTCTTTCTCCTCCTCCTCCTCCTCGTCCTCCTCCTCCTCTTTGCTCTGATACTGGGGATTGAATCCAGGGCCTTTGAACTGAGCTACATCCCCAGCCCATTTAAAATACATTTTATTTTGCAGCAGTGCCTCAGGAAGTTGCCACATTTCCCAGGCTGGGCTCAACCTTGTGATCTTCCTGCCTCAGCTTCCCAGAACGCTGGGATCACAGACATGCACCACCATGCCGGACTTCTAATTCTTCTTGATTAAATATTTTCTGTTTTAAAACTTCCCAAATGAAAAGGTCATTTTTGGGTGTGTTGCTAAGTAGAGGCAAACATTCAACTAGTTTGCTGTAGCTAATAATTACAGTTGCAGCAGTGGGCAGATGATCCCCAGACCAGGGCCTGGGCAACCTGCTCAGAAGCCAGTGCTGTCAGCTGTTGTCCAAAGGCCATGCTCCAATTGCTGTTCAAGTCTTTCTCCCATCTCCCCAATGCCAGGAAGTCTAATAAATAGATGGTTCAGGTCAGGAATTTCAGGATGAGCCCAGCTAGGTTTGAATACTCCTTAGTTTGTATATAATCTGAGGAACATGATGTCAACTCTCTGAGTCAGGTTTACCACTTCTAACATAGTGATGACAATTATGCTCACTAAGTTCATTTCCAGGGTAAATGAGATATGCAGTCATGGGCTTGGTATAGATAAGTATGCAGCCAGTGGAAGCCTCTGCATTTGCTACTGGTTGTATTATTAATAAAGTTTCGGTTCTAGGAAGAGGTGGAGACACTTAAGTGTCCCTGGGATCCAGCACCTACTTTTCTGCTCCTTGTTATTGGTACCGGTCTCCAGGTAGGGTCAGAGCTTCACTTCCGGAATGTGCAGATGGCATGGGGATGTGTTCCTGGAGGAAGACAGGGTGTGGTGGCTTGGGGGAGGCCTCCTGATGAGGGGTAGCACCTGCTTCAGCAGGGCTGGGGCCCAACCTGTAAAAGAGACAGCTCATCCCAGAGCAGCACTGATGAATGCAGGTTCAGCAAAGAGAACTTCTGACTTAACAGATACATTTTTTTAAGTGGAGACATCTCTGGGACTCCTAAAGCTTTCTAATCAGATGTTGGTATGCAAATGAGTAAAAACAATAACAAGGAAAGATGCTATTTGTGGTGCCAACACCCCTGGCAAAGGACTATAAATGCCTCTCTGTGTAAGATCTTTCAAACGCAGACATCCTGAGTTTGCCACTCCCCAGCAAGGTTGGCATGAGCGCCATGGTGAACAGCTGTTGTCCTGGAAAGGACTTGGCTACTCCAGCGGTGCCTACCACCACCATGTCCCCAAGAGGTGGCAGAGTCGGAAATGCTATCTGTCTGCCCAGTTCCTGCCAGAGCAGAACGTGGCAGCTGGTCACATGCCAAGAAAGCCATCAGCTGCCCAGCAGCCTCCTGAGGGGCTGTGAACCCATTTCTTCCCAAGCTCCCTACCTTTCCGACATGTCTTGTGTGGGTTTTATTTGCCAACCCATATGCCCCAGCACTGCCTGCTCCGAATCCAGCACTGGTCACTCTCCTCGTCCAGTCTCCTCCCCTCCTCCATCCTGCTTGGACTCCTCTCGTTGTGAGACAAAGTACTGTGATGCCAGCTCCTGCCAACAAAGTTCCTGCCGGGAACCTGTGTGCACACCTGGGCCATGCCAGGCAGCGTGTGGCCAATCCATCTGCCATGATGTGAAATCCTGCCAGCTGTCTGGCTCAGAAGTAACTTCCTGTGCTGAAACGTCTTGCCCACAAGTTCTCTCTGCAGCTGGTTCATGCCAACCAACCTGCTGCCAAGGAGGCTCATGGCACCCCACTGGAGGTGAGGACCAGCCCTGCAGTGCCACATATTACCAACCCGTCTGCTATATCTTTGAGCCTTGTCAGTCCGTTCCCTGCACTCCTGTTTCCTGCCAGCCAATGACTTACATGTTGAGTTCTTGCAGTCCTGCTTGCTGGGTGGCCTCTCCTTCCCAGTCATGTCACTGCCAACCAGTGTCTCCTATATCCTTCATCTGCCAGCCAGTGGCCACTTGCCAGTCCCCTTGTTCTGAGAAGTGCCCCTGCAAGCCAGTTTCCTGTGGCCAACCCACCTGCGGTGGACCCACTTCTCACAGTTGTGGCCGAAAGTCCCCGCCCTGCCAGCCAGCTTGTTGTGTGACAGGTTCAGGCAAAGCATCCAGCTGTGGGCCCAGCTGCTTCCGAGCGACTTCCCCAAGTCGGTGCAAAGCAAGGCCCTGTTTGCTGACTTCCTGCCAGCCAGGCTGCAAGGTGAGCTGCCATTGGCCCATGCTCGGCTGATGAACACCTTGCCCCCCCGAGGGTGTGCTGCTGTCTGGGAGCGTGGCCGTCCTGGGGTGCCTGCCTCCTGGGGCCTCTGGTGCTGCCCACTCTCTAACATTATTAGGATCCAGCCCTCCATCCTCTCCAGGTGCTGATGAGAGAACTCATCAACCAGTAAGAGCTGGTTCATAGCGGAGGGAAACTTTCAGCACCGTGGTCCAGCCTGTATCCTGCATTTCCTGATGCTGTCAACTCATTTTACGCCTGCAAAGCCTTCTCTCCAGTTGTGTTTTAGTTGGGTGCTGCCCGGTCTTTCAGAAGACTCCTTCACTGCCAACTGCTGATACAAATGTGAGTGGTTAAGTGTAATGGAGAAGCCACACGGTGCTTCCATTCTTTCTTCAACCCTACCTTGGTTTCCTTCAGGTCACGTTGGATCATGGGGACCATGGGCCTCCACGTCCGTGGGTTTGTCTGCTCTGGCCGGAATGGGTAGCAGATGGCCAGAACCATAGATGCTCGAGCTGGAGGAGGAACGAGGACAAGCGGTTCCCTGGCTTCCAGGAGCTCTTTTGGGCTGGGTGGTTTCAGTTCTTCCACAATGAGTGTTCTCGGGAAACCAAAGACAGAAATGGTTCAGGGAAGTGCAGATTAAAATAAAGACATCATACCACAGTGATATATGTGTATCCGTGTTTATAGCAGCCCGATTCATAATGACCACATCTTGGAAACAGCCTAAGTGTCAACAGATGAGTGGATTAAAGCAAACGTGATATTTATATCAATGGAGTACTACTCTGCTACAAAGAAGGATAAACCTGAGTCATTTGTGGAAAATGGATGCACTTTGAGAAGAAGATGTTAACTGAAGTAACTCAGACACACAAGCTTAAATAGTACATGGTTTCTCTTGCAAGAAAAATTCAAAATATGTATATTTATATATGATATATGATATGAAATAAAGGAGAGATAATAGGAAAAGAGAGAGAGAGGAAAAAAATTATTGTAATCCAGCACAGACAATGTATCTAAAAGTGTATCTTGGGCTGGGGATTTAGCTCAGTGGTTCCATCACCTGCCTCACAAGAGCAAGGTCCTGAGTTCAACCCCGGAACAACAACAACAAAAAAAGTGTACCTTGACTTAGTACAATTGTCTTACATGTTTTATATATTCTTTGGCTCATTAGTCTGGCTTTCAGTCTATATGTATGATAATTAACTGTATAAGTTCTTATAAGATAAATAAATGAATCTGATGCTGGAAAAATAAGTGGAGAGTGGAGGGAAGGGGGAAAAATAAGAATTGAGATGTGTTATGCGCATGCATCAATTCCCTATAGTCAATGTAATGATTATGTACTGCAAATGTGTACTAATAAAAGGAAAAAAAACCTTTTTTCAAACTGATTCCTAACCAAAAAAATGGATAGTGATATTCATTATAAAACATAGAGAGAATGTGTATGTCTACCAATATGTATTGATCATTTAAACACTGCAAGATTCATACAATACAATAAATGTCATTTGTAACAATACTAATAAAGGACTATATCAGGTAAAAAAATGCAGCCTGAATATAGGTAATGTGTATATGAAGTGAGCACATTTTTGTAAAAAATTACTTATTTTACATGTATATTTGCACAGAAAGTGTCTCGTGAAAAATACAGGTTCCTTCTCTCTTTCTCTCTCTCTTTTTTTGTGTGTGGGATGCTGGGTATTGAAATCAAGGTCTTAAAAAAAACCTCCAAGAATTTTTAGTATTTTAATTTCTTCATTATATGTTTGATGGACTTTTTTCCAGAGGTGATGAATTACTAATGTTAAAAAAATAAAATTCTTTCAAACATTAGAAAAAAAATAAACATGAAGTGTATTGGCCATGGAGAAGAGTTTAAAGTGAATTCACTTTACATTGGTTTTACAATGGCCTATTAAAATAAAATTTAAAACTCTTTAGAATCTTTTTGTAGTTCGTTGTGTTTTGAGATTATTTTTTAGGAGTAGGAAGGATTTACTGAGAGAAAGACAGCTTCTATCTAAGAGAGACAGATGGGGGACCAGAAAGTCGTGTTTTGACATTTTAAGAGACAGTTTTTAAAACAGTTCAAGGGAACTTCTGCCCCTCTTTTTATTTCTAGTACATAGTTACTGAACCTGAAGATTTTAAAAAATGGTTGCATTGATTTCTTTTTGGGGAAATCTTAGATGAAAATCTATCTGTGCTTTTCATTGATTAAGGACTTCCGGGTTTGTGAGATGATTTAGGTCTGAAACCCCGTGAAACGCCAGGAGCCCGCACGGTGACAACTGAAACCAGGTGTTTCTTGCACGCAGATGCCCAGTTATTACAGCACCATCTGCAGACGACTGACCCGAGAGCTCCTGTCTAAAAGCAGCTCACCTTTGGTCTATGGTGTTTTGGGAATCTCAGTTGTTACTGATCAATCCTCAGTTCTCGGTTTCAGTTCCCCTGTTGGTCTATTTGTTTATCTTGGCTTCCCTGAATAGGATTTGGGAATAAATATCCCAGAAGCCTAAGCGACTGGAGCTGTCCACGCATATGACAGCACTTCCGTTTTGTTGCAAAACATAAAATGAGTCTTACTTAATAAAGTGTTATAGGTCTGATGAAAATAATTTATTTGGTCCTTTCTATGGATAAAGGACTCATCCAAACCCCCTTAATCAGTAGCTAGAAAATTTATTGGTAAAGCAGTAAAAATGAAAAAATGCACTAACTATTAACATTCCAGGCAAAATGTATCCTGTGGAAAGGTCAATGAAGGTTAGGATAGACAAGAGTCCCATCTGCAGACTCTGCTGTTATGGACAATTCCTTCGCAGGGAGAGCAGGACTTGCTACTGAGAAAGCATTGACTAAGACGTGCAGGAGACTCTTCTACCTCCATCTAGAACTTCACAGCCTGAGCTCACGGCTCACCGACAGTCAAAGCGTAGGTATTTGCATTTTGGAAATGTAACCCAAAGAGAAAGTTCCAGTGTGGTGGTGAGAGAGAGGCCCTGGACTGTGGCTCAGAGGAAAAGGCTTGAGTCCCACTCTGGACACTCACCTGTCAGGTGGGTGAGATCAGAGCTCTGTCTACAAAAGGAAGAGTTAGGTTAACTTCACCCCCAGGCTCACCTGCGTTGTCCGCGAAGCTCTAGCTATTCTCTCTTGGATTAAGATAAAAGCCTCTTTTACTCTGGAACTGATGAGAGAGAAAGAGCCCTGAGATATGAATGGTACCTCACAAAAAGGACCTTTAGACAAAGAAGCCAGTGAATGAGTGCTCAGAAGTATCGCTTTCCAGAGAAATCCAAATTAAAACAGTTAGTTATCACTTTGTAGCCATTAGACAGCAAATAATAGAGCACTGTGTCAGAGCTCAGTAAACTTTTTTTGGTAAAGGAACAGGTAGTAAATATGCAGGCTTTGTAAGCCATAGAGGTTTTGTCTGAACTATTGATTTGGCCATTGTGTCATTAAGGTATTGATGGATAATATGTGAAAAAATGAGTGTTGTCAATAAAACTTTACTGACAAAAACATGCTGTGGACAGTGTTTGGCTCATGAGCCACAGACTGTCAACTCCGGTGCACATCATGTGTTGGTGGGATCGTGAGTTTATAGGAACCCCCTAGAACTGATAGTGAGATTACTGGCTTGTTAAGCCACTCAAAAATACAATCTGAACCCATTTAGATAAATTATATAAATGCATATTCTTGTGATCCAGAGATCCTGCTCCTGAGGATATATTCCTCCAAAATTCTTACACAGGTTTATAGAGGAACACATGTGAGGGGTTTACTGCGGCATTTCTGTGTTGGCATGGACTTTAAAAGGAATCTGGTGTCACTACTGAGAAAGTGGGTAGGCAAATGTATGGGAGTTAGATACAATGCATTATTCAGATGCATAGATACATGGATGTATGTTAAAACTATGCTGCTTAATAATGAAAGAGAATAAGATATGCCACCCACTGCCCCTCACATGGCCACTTTGACAGTGATGCCATTTACACAGCCATAAATATTTTATAAGAATTCATGCAAAAATGTATGGAGCACAAAAGAATAGCTGCCTCTGGGAAGAGAATGAGGCATAGGAAAACCAAGAATTAAATGAATCGATACATAAGTACACAGAGAAAAATACATAAGACAGCGATCTTGCCAGGACCAAAGGTGATAAGGTTCCATTTGTTTGCAACTGAGCTCCCAAATCAGAATTCAGAAAAGGCAGAAAGAGAGAAAAGAGACCTTGATATCGCAACAGAATTATCACGGACGAATGTCTTCCCCAAATGGCACTTTGATGGACAACCTGCCCCAAAGCCCACTCCCATGTTTTCCGCAGAGATCTCTGTCCCTCCAGGGAAGGGCGAGGGCCTGGGGTGGGCGCATCTGGCTAGTACTGCTCCTCACCTCCCCTCTCCTTGCATAAGTCCTTCATGGATGCCAGAATTCTCGATGCACCTGGGATTTCAAATTTCATTTTGCACTAGGTTTTTGACACACCCGGGTCTGTCTTCTCCTTTTCGGGTCCCAGTTATGAATTTCTCAGTGAACTACAAATAGCTTGCACTGGCCATTCCCCAGCAAGACAGACTGTAGGTTCTAAACACGTCAAAGGAAACATGTGGGTTGCACGGTCTGTATCTTCCTCCATCCTTGGCCACAGTTCAAATAAACATTTATTTGCTTCTTTTAGGTTTGCTAGGACTTGCCCATGAAACATCTCCCATCTCCTATTATAAGCAATGTTCTATCCAGCCCGAACATGCTTATAACTGAATCCGTATTTACACTCTCCCTAAATAGAGTAGGAGAGCAGATTTAAAAATATGAGAAAGATATGACACACACACTGAGAACTGACATTTGCTTTCATCTCCTTTGGCTTTTTAAAGCATACAGTTGAATTAAAGCCTTATTCATAAAGTTGAAGTTCCTATTGTACCGTTAGGTCTCATTTTTCTCCTTTCCCTCTCAGGTTC